GTGGTCAGAACTGACATCCTCTTTCCCCTACAGTTTTCCATGTGTTGCCATAAGTGCCTAGTAGTCAGTAAAATCCGTTTAATATTAGAAGAAAAGTCCTAGAGTCAAAATTAATTTTCACAGTTATATGACAAATATAATAAATTCTATTTGTATTTTCTTATTTCATTAGAATATCATCAATTCTATTTTTAGCTTAAGAAACTAAGTCTCCTAAGTAGGTGTTTCCTTTGGGAATTAAAAAGACTGAAGACAGTGAAGGCTTGAAAAACTAATAACCTTTTTAGGGGGAAAAAACCTTTTTTCAATTGCACTGATTATTATTTTAAAGGCATTTTACCTAGTGAATTCCTGAGTTTCTTTTTTGATCCTTATCTACCTCCTGAATCTGAGTGTCCATAAAGATGAATATTAATGGTCACCATACTTTCTATGTTAAACATCTATTGGTTGATCTTGCTTCAAAGTAACTTACTTCTTTGTAGAATTAAGTTACTCTAATTTCCTACTCCATGCCTTTTATTTTCCTCTGGAGAAAACCTTTCCAGGGCATGACCTAATGAATTCTGGTTCAAATTTCCAAATGAATCTGAACCAAAGTGATTCTATAGTTTGGTTTAGGGAACCTTCATTAAATACCCTAGCGAGAGAATTTTTACTGTTTCATGCCAGACTGAAGTACTTTTCTTGACATATTGAAATTGAACTTCAATATTTATGAGAATATAAATTGCAACAGCACTTTGTAACATGTCGTAAGTCCGGTAGAGTCTTAAGTCAAGGACTTTTACTTTCTCTATAACCCCATTAAAAATAACAGTGTTTCTAATTATTTTCCCTTTAAAAATTAGAAAAATATGTCCTGCTCTCCAGAGAAATGTTATCTTCACTTATTCCTGTAGTTTATATGGTTGCATGCCATATGTCTTTATAGTTTTTATGTGGCTTGACCAAAGTGCAAATTCAATTTTATAGGTATGGCTCGTTTGCCTTCTCTTTTAAAGAGAGAAGCAGTTTTCTAATTGAGAAAGTTAATTTTTGTTTCTCCTCTTTATTCCTGACCTCTTTGCAATCGTCTTGTCTCTAAAGGTTCTTCACATCACAGTTTCAAGAGAAGACTCCATTTTAACTGCAGGACTGCGTGGCTTTAACTACTGTTGTTCACACTATAGTTATCTGAAGTTGAATTTGTTCTTTTTCTATAGCATTTCTTTTCTACACAAATATGGTCACCAGACTACAGTGTAACCTGCAAGAGCTTCTAGCTTTTATTATCTACCATCTTGGAAGGTTTTCAGAAAGCAGCATGGCATGATCAAAAAGCATAATGTTTTGATGGCTAATTGGCTGGGCTTCTTTGGGACTCAAGAGATTTGATTTCTTCTGTTAACCAATTGGCTGAACCAAGGAGTTTGCTGTGAATTACAAGAATAGACAGTGCACAAACTTATCTATAAAGTTTAATCTGCATCTTATTTGTATAGGTCACCTGTGCCACTCATGGTATTTGGTAGTAATTAAGAAAAACTGACTGTAGCTATTTGAAGGCTGTGGGAACTATAGAATTCACTATAGACTGGAAGACATAGCTTGAACTGGCAGGAAATAAAGTAGCCCCAGACTCTTCCTGCAAAGAAGCAGGACATCCATTAGCAGTTCTTTACAGGAAGACTCTGACCGGGATGTAGCCCTGTTGCCTCCACCACTGTCACTGTGAGCAAATTCTAGCCACCCTCTCATCTCTCTGTCATTTGCTCAGGAATCAAAGTCCTAAGCAAGAACATCCCATTAGGTGAGGCTACATCATGTGCCCAACCTGGTGACGAGAGCAAAGAGAGGGAGAGGCTGGCCTTTTTTTTTTTTTTTCCAGATAAACTACACACAATGGAAAGTTCCCCGCCTGGACTGTAAAGAAAGTAGCTTTCTAGATAGATTTTTTTTTCTAAAACCTGAAAATGTTTACTATTTTCATAAAACAAAAGCAACTAAATAGTAATCTTGACAGTTTAAGAGTTAAGATTTTTCTAGGACATCATACTAAAGCAGGAGAATCCCAACCCTGTGACATACTATCTACATTAGCTTGGAAGAGGAAAATAACATTTCAAATTCCTAATGTGTAAATTTAAAATAATGCCTACTGAGTAGGATTAGGTTGAGATATTATTTACAGTGCCTTAAAGATCATGACAAGTACATTGTGTGCATTCAATTTTTACTGATCTTCTGCTTAGTCACCTTATTATTTGATTGGCATGACTGTAATTTTTTAAAAGTTAATATTATTTTGCTACATAATGATTCTGTTCACCTATCTGAAATTTTAAAATAAATGATATAGTTTTTGTTATTGTTTTTGTTTTCTCTAACAGGCAGGCTAGCCTCAATGAAGCAGCCGAGAAGTATTATGATCTGGCAGCCAAGCTGAGGCCTAATGTAAGTACCTTCCTAATGAGAAGTATTATTCAAAGGGATGGACTCACAGCATGTGAGAGTTTTAGACATAGAAGCCTTGTGATACTGGTGTTTTTCTCTCTGATCTCTTATTTTGTGTTAAATGGCTGATTCAACCGTAAAATATGCCTGTCTCAAGCTTCTTTCTTTTTCCAGAGGTACAAATTGCTATTTACTACCGCGTGTGAAGCACCATACATTTTTATCATTTGAACACAGGTTTTAGCATTATTAGATATTTTGCATTTGGATGACTTTTAAAATGAGTTCTTTGAAAGTATTTTTGCTGTGGTGTTACATACCTTTGGACTTCCTAACAACTCATTGATTCTTATGTGTTGTCAAACCTCAAGTTGTGTGCCTCTTCCCTATTCCACAGTACTCATTTCTAGTAGCTGTGCTTCTCAACTTTATCAAGTATTTTTTATTAGACTTTTTCCCTGGGCAGTCACACTTCCATAATTAGATCGTTGCTATTGAAATAGAGAACCATTTACAAGAGAATAAGAACTGGTTTTGTATCGGTCTTCTCAGCACTTTTATATTCACAGTACATCATTGAATTCCAGGGCATTGCTTTTATTCTCATCCACACTGCTCTGCATCACTCTACAACACTAAAACCTCTACCCTGCTCTCTGGATCTACGCCGTCTATTGAGAAATGTAATTTTCAAACAGTAATGAAAGTGCACGTGTGATGGGACTACAAATAATGGAATCAGTCCCATTTCTTTACAGTAACTCATCTATTGGACAAAGGTCTATAGAGTACCTTCTTTGTGATAGGATACAGAGATTTCATACCCTAAAAGACCACACAATGTAGCAGACAAGACTGAACATAATCAACTAATTGAAATACAGTGTGGAACAAGGGGAGGATTAATGCTTCCTGAAAGCAACCCACCCAGGAAGCAGCTTTTTGATCAAGAGACTCAACCACATGTAACCTTAGCCCTTAAATCTAAATGTCCCAGTTTCTTTAATTACGAGGTACTTTAAGAATCGGTAAGCTGTTTGCAACAGAAGAAAATAATTTAATAGTTGTAAAAAGAATAATAAGCACTAAAATTTATTAAACACTTGTTTAAACAAGTGAATTCTCTCATTTTTTTCTCACAACAGCCCACAGATACTTCTGTGATCCTCATTCTGCTGAAGTTCAGAGAAATGAATAACTCACACAGTATCACAGCTAATAAGTGGAATCACATTGTAACCCAGGCTGCTGTGTGTATAAGAGAAAGCTTGATGAAAAAAATGCAGTTGTATCTTAGAAAACGCAGGCCAGAGGTCTAGAAAAACAAAATAATAATGGTCCTCTCGTTTATTCATTAAATATTTACTGAGCATCTATTAAGTGCCAGGCACTATTCCAGGCACTGGATACACGGCAGTGAACAAAATTGACAAGAGTCTCTGCCCCTTAGGAGCATATAGTCTAGTGGTGAGGAGACAGAACAGGAAGCAGATAAATAAAATATATAGTATGTCTGACAGCAATAAGTGCTTTGGAGAAAAATGGAGCAGGAAAAGGAAATTAGGAAGTGCAGGGGGAGGTATGCAGGAGGCACAGATTTGTAAATGCCTGAGTTGGGCATCTTGTGTAGCATTTCTAAGAAAAGGGTTGGACTTGAGACCTTAAACTTTAAGTTCACTGAAGACAGAAATCAGGATTTTTTGTCTGACTGACTGACTGACTTCCTTCCTTCCTTCCTTCCTTTTCCTCCTTTCCTTTCCTTTCCTTTCCATTCCTTTCCTTCCTTTCCTTCCTTCCCTTCTTTGATTAATAGAATTGATTGATAGAATCAATAATAGAATGATTAATAGAATGATATAATGCTCTTACTATATATACTAAATGATGGTAAGTTCAACCTTTGTTCATTGAGTAGCAGTCCCTTGAGTGTCACTTTTATTTTTGTTAAGTGGTTGATCAGATGGCCGTCTTCAGCATATTGTAATGGATTAGGGAGAAAAGGGCTCTCTGACCTGACCTCAAAAATGAAAAAGAAAATGAGGCACCACAAGATTTAAACCTGACTTATAAGAGTATTTATTTTAAAGACTGGCCAAATCATAAAATCAATATTTAACCTCCAGCTCGAAGCCACTTTTTCTGAAACCCCAAAAAGTTTCTTCATAAACATGCCGCAGATTGCTTTGGAAAAATGCGTTTATTCAAATGATATTTCTCTTATCTGGTAACAATAAATTAAGTATTTTATAGACTTGGATAAGATATGAAGTCTATATTTAACAATAAGAAAATGATGTTACAGTTGATCAACAGATGTGATCTTTCACTAATCTGTTTTATGAATTGTGTTTGGTTTTCTGTACATAATTTGGTAAGTAAGATGCCACCAAGACAAGACTGATAAAATGTAAACCTTAACAATAACACAGGTTTCTATTCTGAAATGAAGAGACCTATCTAAACAATAGCCCCATGTCATGAATTATTAGCAGTTAGCATGTGATCTAAATTAAAACATCCATCTGACATTTATCTTGCTCAGAGCTGTTTATTCCCTTTGTCATAAAAACATTCTTTGTTATTTCTGTACTTAATAAATAAATTTCAGTTACCTGTTTATATGAGAACATGGTAAACAGACCTCAACTCTTATTCCCTGTTTAAGTAGTTTCACTATCTTTTCTATTTTTCTTGTCTACATGGTAATCTAATCTTATTCTTCTTTTTCGTAAAGCATTTTCTTCTGTTGTTTAGTTTCAACTACAGCAGTCTGTAGCTGTATGTCGGGGTCCTCTGTGCATTTTTCAGCAGTGCTCATGTCAGATCATGACTATGTGAAGTAAAATTTTTGATTGCAACCCTGTGTACTACCCACTTACTGTATTAAGAAGATTGCTGATTATCTGTGAGATGAATTCCTCTCTTAGTGAAATACCTATTCCATTTCTTCAGTATGTCCCATGATGAATTGCTTTATATTTTTTCTTCTACAAAAGTCTTATTTTTCCATACAACTTACTTGAAAATTATTAATTGACTTTTAGAGTTATTCATATTCAAAGAATTCCAGTGACCAAATGCTAAAATAAAGAAATCTAAATTAGCAGGCACATATAACTTTATTTATTTTTTTAACATCTTTATTGGAGTATAATTGCTCCACAAGGGTGTGTTAGTTTCTGCTGTATAACAAAGTGAATCAGCTATATGCATACATATATCCCCATATCTCCTCCCTCTTGCATCTCCCTCCCACCCTCCCTATCCCACCCCTCTAGGGGGTCACAAAGCACTGAGCTGATCTCCCTGTGCTATGTAGCTGCTTCCCACTAGCTATCTATTTTACGTTTGGTAGTGTACATATGTCAGTGCTAATCTCTCACTTCATCCCAGCTTATCCCTCCCCGTCCCCATGTCCTCAAGTCCATTCTCTACATCTGCGTCTTTATTCCTGTCCTACCCCTAGGTTCATCAGAACCTTTTTTTTTTTTCAGATTCCATAAATATGTGTTAGCATATGGTATTTGTTTTTCTCTTTCTGACTTACTTCATTCTGTATGACAGACCCTAGATCCATCCAGCTCACTACAGATAACTCAATTTCATTTCTTTTTATGGCTGAGTAATATTCCGTTGTATATATGTGCCACATCTTTATCCATTCATCTGTCGATGGACAACCTAGGTTGCTTCCATGTCCTGGCTATTGTAAATAGTGCTGCAATGAACATTGTGGTACATAAGTCTTTTTGAATTATGGTTTTCTCAGAGGATGTGACCAGTGGTGGGATTGCTGGGTCATATGGTAGTTCTGTTTTTAGTTTTTCAAGGAACCTCCATACTGTTCTCCGTAGTGGCTGTATCAATTTACACTCCCACCGACAGTGCAAGAGGGTTCCCTTTTCTCCACACCCTCTCCAGCATTTATTGTTTGTAGATTTTTTGATGATGGCACTTCTGACTGGTGTGAGGTGATACCTCATTGTAGTTTTGATTTACATTTCTCTGGTGATTAGTGATGTTGAGCATCCTTTCATGTGTTTGTTGCCAATCTGTATATCTTCTTTGGAGAAATGTCTGTTTAGATCTTCTGCCCATTTTTGGATTGGGGTCTTTGTTTTTTTGATATTAAGCTGCATGAGATGCTTGCATATTTTGAAGATTAATCCTTTGCCAGTTAGCAGGCACATATAACTTGAAATGTTAGACTCTGATATTGTTTCTTCATCAGGGATATTGAATGCATCGTCATTTACTGAAGTGCACATTTAGAGAAATATATTTATTTAAGTACACATTTAGAGAAACATTTTTGTAGTGGGAAAGCTCTTTACCAAAATTACCATTTTAATTTTTTCCACTTTCAGTTTCCCATTTTTATAAATAAAATTGATCTCTCTGTGGAGGTTACTTTAAAAAGACAACAAACACTTTTCTCTGTCTTCTCTCCCATTTACGCACATCAAAAACTGCTGACTCTTGAGGACTAGAGAGAACATTAAAATGAAACGGTTTTGTTCCTCCTGTGGGAAGTGAGCCAAATTCTGCATTAATTTATAGGTTTTTAAATTTTCCGTAAAATGCGAAGAATGGGGAATTTGCATAGTACAAAGTCACCCAGTTCTACCTGGCTTTTAGTAAATGCCAAAGTTAGAAGAGGGTAATTCCTAATAATGAGGAATTATATTTCTTTATATTTTGTATTTTTCTGCATGTAATTGTTTTGGGTCTGAATTCATTCAACTTTTTTTATTATTATTATTATTAAGTTCTAACATTGTGTAAAATTCTACTCCAAGTGCAGTAGGATTTCCAACTTGTGAAAAATTAACCCTGACCTTGATGCGGGGGGAAAGTGGGAGAGAGAACCAAGGATCCAAATCTTCATACTTCAAGGCAATAAAAGATGCTGTATGTTAAGTGCTCTGTGAGTGATAGAAGCTAGCTGCTGGAAAAGTGCACAGGAGAAAAAAAAATACTTTCAGGGCTTCCCTGGTGGC